ATTATTATTATTATTATTATTATTACGCCGTAGAGACTTGCACCGTTGTAGCACTCCAGAGTTTGGGAGAATTGCTTTTGGGACTACAGCATCCAAAACTTCTTTCGGTAGAATTCAGAGACAAAACTGTGTTCATCTGGAATATTAGTATGCAAAGGGATCTTGTAGCATCTTTCAGACTAATTGTGGGAAAGAAGTTGTAGCATAAGCTTTTGTAGCATTGGTCTTCTTCCTTAGATGCATGCACTCCCTGCATCTGAAGAAGTTGACCAAGCCTACAAGAGCTTCTTTTGTACAGATCCAAAACACACTGCAGAAATAATCCACTTTGAGACCACTTTAACTGCCCTGGCTCAATGCTAGGGAATTCTGGAAACTGTTGTTTTGTGAGACATTTAGGTTTCTCTGTCAGATAGCTCTTGTGCCACAAAAAAACCTACAATTTCCAGGATTCCCTAGCACTGAGCCAGGGCAGTTAAAGTGGTCTTGGATTGGATTATTTTTGTAGTGTGTTTTGGACATGTATGAAAGAAGCTCTTGTAGACTTGGTGTGTTTTGGACCACAATTATTCTGAAAGGAGCTACCAGATCCTTTTGCACCCAGAACCCCTGTTGGCTATGTTAGTGGCGAGTTCTTTGAAACTCTAATAATAATAATAATAATAATAATAATAATAATAATAATTTATAAATAATAATAATAATAATAATTTATTTATTTATAACTCTAATCCAGAAAGTCACTTTTCCAAATTCTGGCATTACCCCCGATATGAAGGATGCAGGTCAAATTTAGGACTGAGTTGGCCCAGGATAGTTTGATAACTTCAGACAGAAGATCCAAATCATCCTTTGTCCCCACTCAAGCATGGGGCATAACATATATGCCCCAAGGAAATCCCCTGAACAAGAGCAATAATGGTCAGAATTGATTTGGGGCGTATGTCTTCTTAAGCAGACTTATGTTTGCAGGAAACACAATTGACCAGTGTCACAGCATCTGTTTTCAGCAAGGGGCTGCTGTTGTGTTACTGTGTCAGGAAGCCAGATAAGTGATTGTTGTGCATCAGGTGTGATACCTAATGGGACTGATGCACATTGGGATACAGGGACATTGGCTAGGGAGTGGCACTGCACATCAGTAGAGCCTGATGTGCTTCAGGACACTTGCTGATGTCCCATGACATGTCTTTGCATTCACTAACAGGGCTCCTTAGCACCTCTGCTACATAGCTTTTGTTGTTGTGTGACTGCAAGTTGACTTATGGTGATGCTAAGGCAAAGCTATCACAGGCTTTTCTGGGGCCGAGAGAGTATGACTCGCCCAAGGTCACCCAGTGGGCTTCCATGACTGAGTGTGGAATTGAACCCTGGCCTCCAGGGTTGTAGCCCAATGCTCAGACCACTATGCCACACTGGCTCTTATATAGCTAAGTATATGTAAAGTAGTAGTTATTCTTCTTGTTTATATCCCAGTTTCCCCCAGATTTGGTCTAAAAGCCATTTACAACAACTAAAAAACATTGTTAAAAATCCGCAAAATACAAAAGTTAAAAAAACATTGAAAAATCAGAAAAAATAAAATAAAACCAGGTTAAAACATATATTAAAACACAACTATACCAGCACAGTCTTAGCAATATCAAGTGCATTGTATTATAAGGGACCTATATCATTAATCATCAAATGTCTGTCAGAATAGAAAAGTCTTTGTCTTGAAAAAGAAAGTTACATAATGTAGACTGCAAAAGAGAATTCCAGCCAGTTACTATTAACAAATTGTTGGTTTTATTTATTTATTATGTATTTATTTTGAGTATTTATACTCCACCTCTTCCCCTTCTTCATCTAGGAAGTGGGATATAAATACTTCATCTTCACCTTCTTCAAGAAGGACTTCTTTAGACTGAACATGACCAAGGTGATAGGAGACATGTAGGCTGGCACCGTTGTTGTTGTTGTTGTTGTTGTTGTTGTTGTGTGCCTTCAAGTCGTTTCCAACTTATTACAACCCTAAGGCCATGGAGTTTTCTTGGCAAGATTTGCCAGGGTTGTTGTTATTGTTGTTGTTTTGCACCATGACTTTCCTCTGAAGCTGAGAGAGTGTGACTAGCCCAAGGTCACCCAGTGGCTTTCCACGCCTGAGTGGGGATTTGAACCTTGGCTAAACTACCTCTTCCCAACCTACCACTTCTCAACTGCAAATCTCACTCCTCTACTGCCATTATTAGTGCCCTTCTGTCACAGCTCCACAGTCATGTGGCAATTACTTGGATTCTTCTCTTGTGTCTTTTTAGAAAGAAGAAAGGCATTTCAAGGAGGATAACAGGAGCAGTGGTAATACATCTGAGTGATTAGCTGTTGAAACTGGTGTTACCTGTGGTGAGCTGAGGTCACTGTAGTCATCCTCTTCTGATCACTCCCCAGCCCAACTATCTCTGACAGAGCTAGGAAATTTACATTCCAAAGGGAACAAATTATTTTACCCATTAACCTGATCCCCAAATTGGTCATTACTTGTTGCTCCCAGGACTGTCCAGAAAGTTGACTCAAGTTAGCATTGTTGTTAACACTGTGCCATTGGAAAATACAGGAAAGTGTTCTCTGGTTCCCCCAAGTGGCACATACAGATATTGCCTCCCAGCTCCAGCTTTGCAAGCAAAATGGTACCATAGTCTTGATAGTTTTGGTAGGAGAGCTGTTGTGCTCAAAGTGAATGATGCCGGCGAGTCAGTTGGTTAAAATATACAAGTTGCCAGTTGAGTCAAGTCAAGTCAGAGCATCATTTATTGCTGAGTCAAATCCAAGTCGAGTCACTGAGATGATTTGAGTCTGACTTGAGTCTGAGTTAGTTGACTCAAGTCTACATCACTGTACACTACATATTGTCTCCTGACCCATCTGCTGAAACCTACTTTAACAATCAGCAGCCACACCATGCAATGAAGATCTGTTCTGCTGGGGACTGGCATAACATGAAGATGTTTCTAGCTGTCTCCTGCCAGTGAATGCAGTGTGATAAGGGGTTGAGATGGGGTCCTGCTTCTGATAGTTCCACTACAGCTCACTTGTGGGAGAAGGCTGGAAATGTTATCTTGCAGTGCCCCAAATGCCAGCAGAACAGATCTCCATTGCTTAGGGTAGCTGCTGGCTGCTAAGGCAGGGTGGAATCATGCCTTTGCAATCATGGCACTACCATTGCAATCATGGCACTATCTATAAACATGAATATCGAGCAGTGATGAACATGTTCATACATAACTGCTCAACAGAATGCCAGTTGAAATAAATAAATAAATAGTTTTTTGTTTGCAGGAGCCCTGGTGACACAGTGGGTAAATGTTGTGAGTTCAATTCTTCAGGGCTCCAGGTTGACTCAGCCTTCCATCCTTTCGTAGGTCAGTAAAATGAGTACCCAACTTGCTGGGGACAATTGGCTAACACATTGTAAACCACTTAGAGAGTGCTCAGCACTATTTAGTAGCATAGAAATGTAAGTGCTATTGCTATTTGTTTTTGCAAGGGGATGGTGGGGCAAGGATGCTGTCCTCCGAGTTCTCCATGTGCTAATGTGTCCCCTCCCAATCTCTCACAGTTGTCCACCTCTGACTTACTGACCCAGCCTATTCCTGCCAAAGGAATGAAAATCTGACCCTGGGACAGGAATTGGAACCTTGTCACACATCTGATAATATCATGAGATGTACAAACAGGATCCAAATTTTAGATCCGGGCTTCCCAAAACAATGAGCTGTTTGCTAAAATTTGGGGGAAATTATCTAATGCGTCCCATTTTTTATTTTTATTTTTTTTGCACTGAACTCTGCTGAGGAGAGTTCATGAGAACCATAGAAAGGCGCACTTAGAGAAGGTTTCCACAATGTCATCATGATGGTTTTGCTTTTGTCTCATCTCTCTGGAATTCCTTTCCTTATAGCTCAAGCATCTTGTGGCATAAAGTCCTTGTTTTCCCTTTTGTTATTAATCTGGGAAGGAATGCTTTCTAACATCAGCAAAGATGTAAACGGAAACAGCAAACTCATCTAGCATCAGATACAAGAATTCTGCATGCTCCTCTTTGGCAGATTTCAAGCAGGGAACAACACATTTACAGAAGAATTCTGAAAAGCCCCCAAACACAACAAAGCCAAGAATTTGCAATTTGGTAAATTTTTCTGTCAATGACTAGAGGGAGAACATTTTTCCTCTCACTGAAAGCTGAGAGTTTTCCTGGTTATATATGTTTCTGTGTGCCTTCAAATTGTTTCAAGCTTATGGCATCCCTAAGGCAAACCTCTCATGGAGTTTTGTTGCCAAGATTTCTTCAAAGGAGGCTTGCCATTGCCTTCCTCTGAGGCTGAGAGAATATGACTTGTCCAAGGTCACCCAGTAGGTTTTCATGGATGACAGGGGATTTGAACTCCAGACTACCAGAGTCCTAGTCCAACACTCAGACCACTTCACCATGCTGGCTTTTAAATACTTATTTAAAATATATGGTGCATTTTCATCCAATAGAATTTCTAAAGCAGTTTACCATCTGCCATAAGGTATGGACATATGCCAGCATGATAAAACAGCAAGCTTGAAAAGCAATTGCCCGCTTTCTGAGAACATTATCACCCAAGCCTCATGGAAACATACCAGTTTGAGAGCATTCAATTATTGTACATTTCTGCAATAGCACAAAGTATAGTTTTTGCCATTAATGGCTCCTTCTGCTCTCTTCTGCACTCCTCTTTGTCTCCACCTTCCTGTCTATGCCCTACCCAGCATGCCTTTTTATGTTTATTTTTAACACAATTCCAGAGTTATGCTAATCCAATTTAATTCAAAAAGAAAAGGAAAGAAATTGGGGAGGGGGGGAGAGAAAGGAAAACAGACTGTTTGGGAATAGCAAAAAGGAGGTGGGCCGGGGGAGACAAGGAGATACTGGCACTACGTGACTTCCAATATCAGAATTGTCCCTGGAGCAACTTATTGTAATGGAAAAGCAATGCAATTGGGAACTTATTGATGGGTTTTCCCCATCAATGAAAAGGGATGCTCTAACAACATTTCACAGGCACAGCACCAATGTGACAGAGACGACTTCGTGCAATAAGTATTTTGAAAGACACTATTCTCCAACTTTAATTGTGGTTTAAAAGCCTTGTGTGATAATGTCCCAAGAATTTAAGTTGCACAATTATTGGAATCCTGTTAGTGATGCATTTGTGTAAGTGACCCACCCAATAGATGGTTGGATCTTTTTGTCAGAAGCAGATTGTATTCAAAGGTTGAAAAAGCAGATTGGGGTCTACGTGAAACAATGAGAGAGCATCTCAGGATGACACGAACCTCAATCTCTTGTTCTAGGCGGCATCTGCACTACAGAAATAAAGCAGTTTGACATCACTGTAACTGTCATGGTTCAATGTTGTGGAATTATAGTTTTGTATAGAATTATAGAATTTTAGTTTTGTAAGACATTTAGCCTTCTCTGTCAGGATGGTTTACGGTTAGGAGCGGGTTGGAAAGGACGCTTGGGAGCGATTGTTTTGATAGCCTTGGTAAGGTCAGTGTTCCAAGTGTTAACCAAAGCTTCAACAGAATCACCGGCGTTACCAACCATTAAACCCTCTAAGGTTCTCTGGAAACCAATTGGTTCCATTAGCATTCGAGGGCGGACCATTCTAATAGGTCCACCACCCAGTGGGGCGGATAGGGCTCATGTACCACAACAAACTGCAGATCCCAGAAACTACAGTCCCCCCCCTCCTTGCTGTGGGAGGCAATTCTACAGCTTGGAAGCAGCCATTGAGAAAGTTGTCTCCCATATCCTCACCAAATGCACCTGTGACTGTGGTGGGACTGAGACAAAACCAAAGATCTTAAAACTCAGGCAGGGCCTTATAGGGAGATATGGCTTTTCCAACTGTCTGGACCCAAGCTTATAGCTCTGAGTAGCCTGTTTCCAAATGGTAAACTTCTTAGGGAGGTGAACTCCTTGGAACTAAAGGCACTCTGAGAACTGGCTTAGAAACTCACCCATGCAACAGGAAAGGTGGTTTTCTAAACCACACTTCCCAATGTGCCTTGTCTCAGAGGACCCTTTCTCTTACCCTCTAGGAGCCAGATATTTGGAAATAGCCTACTCACAGCCAGTAGCCACCCTTCTCCATGGTTGCCACTGCATCCCCTGCTGACGTCGGTTGTGCCTGCACTGATGGGATTGATATTGTCTGTACTGTCTGCACACTTCCCCCTCATGTCCTGGCCTACATCCCATTAAAACGCAGTATGTATCCAATGAACCACACAAACTAGTGATGGGAAGGAAGAGGTCAGTGACTCCTCCTGGCGGGAACCCTTTTTACTCTGGAAAATCACTCTAGAGCACAGATTGGACCCGTGTTTCACCCATTTGGGCCCTGTGCA